GATGCTCGGTTTGAACTGCAGGAGATTGTCTTGACCATGTCTACATGCCTAAATGCACTGAGTTGCCGACATGTGATTGGCTTCTTAGAAATTAAGTGTTAACGAGCAGTTGTACCTAATAAAGTGGCCGGTGAGTGTATATAAACTTCTAGAGATGTTATGATTTATTTCACAAAGATCACAACCTATATAGATTGTGTAAATTGTGAATTTTGCTCCGTTACTTGCAAACAAAGAACACTTTTTTTTGTCAAAAGAATCTGGGAAAAAAAGCAATTTAGAGAAGAAATTTGAAAACCACATGTTCTAAAGAAAGGTTTTGAAAGTGACTTTGCTGTATTCTAAAATCTTATTTTCAAATTTCAAGATTCTTTTTGAACTACCCGTTTATTAAAAAAGTGTACCAACAATTGTTTTCTACATGTATACTACTAGACTATTTTTCCAGCCAATTGTCGTGTTTGTCTGCAGCTGTTTGTTAAAAAGACATTTGAGACAAAGTTTCATAATTACTGTATTAAAAAGAAAACACATATCTGTGTAATTTTTGGTCTATATTAGCCAGACCTATTGCCCGAATAGAATGACTCCACAAGTCTAGGTCTTTAAGCATGAAAAGTTTTAGTCTGACCTTCATGATGTTTTCCCTTAGAATGTTCTTGTTCTTCTCCAATGACAGTAAAACTAATTAGACCATCATACAAGCATTTTTATGTCTCACTAACCTGGGAAAGCCTGCAGTAGGTCCTTGGAGAACATTTTAGTGTTTTTGGAGACTTCTTTTAGCATTGTGTGGTCTGCATTCAGGATGTAACAGCATTGAACGTTGCTTTGACCATCTGTCACTTGTAGAATATATTTTTTTCTTATTTAAATATCTTAGAAGGTGCAAACAAAATTTATCTTCCTGAAGGCATCAAACATTTCTTTGGATCCCATGAATTTCACCCGAAAGGTCAAACCCTGAAGTTTTAATAGTCAAACCTCCCTAGAAGGGTGCACTCCACAAGGGAATAAATCAATAGTTTATTCCTTCAAAGAAATTGGCTTATTAAATCTAGTTAAAAAGTATTTTTATATATTCTTTTTGCTTTGTATCTTTAGCATTACATTTCCTCGACAAGAGCTAAAGAAGCAGTTTTCTACCCACTAGAGAGAACATAACAGCCAACAATCAGCAGGGTCTGCGGGTTGGGCATTAAAAACTGCTGGGCTCCCTCCATGCTAAGCTGTGAACATAATGATGACGAAGTGAAACAACAACAAGCCTCTGTGGTTTAGTAGTCTGTGTAAAAACAGGAAAGGATCTGTCTAAAAAGCAGCATTACGTAACCGTAGAAACAGCTAACACTCGTCTAGTTTCTCTGATCTGCTTTCTAGAATATTCTGCCTGTTTATTGCTAGAGAGACAGTTTATTAAATCATCAGCTTTTAATAATGTAGCAACGGCAGCAACAAATGACTAAAATAGATCTTTCTTTTATTCTGAGTTAACTTTTGAAAACGGATTTTGAAACCAGAGCCAGAGAGAATAATGTCGTATATTTTTCTTGTCTATATGAAGATAAAACAGATTTAGAGCAAGTTATGCATTTGTCCAACTTTGACGAACACAGCGTCCTTAGCATTACTATGCTGCTAAATATAAAATTTAACATTTAGAAACTGTCATGACTGATGTGAATTTAATTTGAAAAATTAAATAAATAAAAGTAAAGTCAAATAGTTATATCTACAATTTATTTATTGAAGCATCATTACACTCAACTCAACTTTATTTATAAAGCCTTTTAAAACAACCACAGCTGCCACAACGTAGTTTACATCCAAGTAGAATTAAAATAGTAAAAAAACACAATTATGTACCTTCTATACCTTTTAAAACTATGACTCTACACAAGTCTTAAAATAGTACTTCTGCTGGTAAAGTTTAGAATGAGTTAAAAAACCAATGCAATGTATTTACCACACAAAACTGAACTAATATAATGCATATGTCAATGAATTTATGTATTGTATGACTTATTTTCAAAGGTTGTGTCTTATGGTCCATCCACACTGAATGCAGTGTCTGTGGTGAAATGTAAAGTTCGTGGTGAACTTTAAAGTGCCTTGAGATGCAATGTGTTATTAATTGGCGCTATATGAATAACCTGAATTGAAATTGAATTGAAATGTGAAATGGGCAGTGGATTTACAGAGTTTCGCTATCCAAACCGCCCAGGCAGCAGTAAATTCCATTGCTTCCCTCTCACTGTGCGGCACCATACAGTGAGAGTGAATTGGTGACCACGGAAGTTGAAAAATCTGAAATTTTCTGTAACATTGCATTGCAGTAACCAAACATGGACCGGTTGTGATTGTGAGCTAGGTAGAAAGGATGCAGCTGAGACAAATGGTTTTTCAATCAAAATAGAATATAGAGAACATTTTTTTACAAACGCTCTCAAGATGTTTTTAGGTGGCTTTGAAAAAAGTAGTTTTAATTGATCCGTCAAAATGCTTTTCATCGTCCGCCCTTATATCCATTATAGACACCGGCCAGTTTTTGTTGCCTCTGGCCAATTTTTGCACTCTGCCCCGCAGGTGTCTCTGATCTACTGCTGTCCTCCTTCAAACCTCCGCAAGAGGAATGTTGAAAGACAAAGAAAAACACTGTGTCCAACACCACAAAAATGCCTCTGTGCACTAAGACCTCCCAAACTTTGGTGTCACACTTAAACTAAAGCGTCTGCATAGTTCTTTAGGTTATTGACGCACACACACCCATAACCACAAGAAGTTGGCAATCCTTTAAGGCGGGAAACTGAAAATGATGATAAATAATAATATTGAAGAACCAACTTAACATTTATCTTAGTGGATGGCCTATATTCATTTTAAAGGATCTTGAGCCTAGTAAAAATAACAACTGAAAAGTGAAATAAAATATAACAAAAACACAAATTTTTTCTGTTTTTCTTTGTTCGTTTGGGTGTTTTGTTTAAAAATTTTATTCCACAAATCAGTTACATAGTTGATGAAATTACTGAGGAGAAAATTAATGTAGAGACTTTAAGAACTACTAAATCCTGAGAGGGGAAAGCTTAGTAAAAGCTGCTGTAATGATTTTTCAAACAGCATAAAAACCAGAAAAAAAACAACACATTATTGTTGCTTACAGCAGGCATACATTGTACACAGCTACAGCTCTAACTGTACAACGAACTGCAGGATTTAACAGTTCCCAGCTCATAGTGTATGTGTTTACACTGTACAACCCAATGCTCTGATGAGATCTAACTGCTCACACTGTACGTCAAAAAACCACACGTCGACTCAGCAACAAAAGATTGCACTGGTTGGACTCGTCAATATGGAAGAAGAAGAAGTAGTCTTCCCTTGTTTGCACATGCGCAGTGTGCAAGATTCTGGTAAATCAGCTCCTAAACGCTCGTAGCTCTGCTTCAATAGCAGCATTTGCTCATAAACACCTCATAAAGGCCTACCGCATTTCCAACATGTTTGATTTTTTTCCCCAACCTTATAATTCCCGATTGGGAGGTGGTCCTGAGTGGTTAATCGCCTCTGATTGGCCTCTGTATACTACACAATGAAGCTGAAACTCTGCCCAATCCAAAAAATTGGGCTGAAGAATCGGCTTGAAAAGGCAAAAACTTGTACAGTGTATTGCGACATTAGTCTATTATCCACCTGTCACTCAGGTCTCTCTGTACTTATATGATTGAGAAACTCTTCTAGTAAAAGGATCACATTGGGAGATGAACAGCAAAGCATTCTCAGATGCTATATTTTATGCTATATTTGCATCTCTTTTTATACTTCGCTATTAATAAAATGTCTCACAACATATCACTATATTGAATTTCATGGAGCTTTTCTACTTCCTCAAAATTTACTGATTCTTCTTTTTCTGTCATTTGAGGGAGAAATATGACACTATTTGCTAGTCATGCTACTTACACACTGATTGGTCATTACTAGAAAGAGTGGGGTAGGGTAGGGGTTTGGGCTGCAGACAGACAGGAAAAGATCAGAGCCCATGTAGCGCAATGTGCAGCAGAACCTGAGTGATATTCAGTTACTTTGGCAGGTTTGATTTGAGGGGGCAAGGCATTTATTTGAAGGGGTACCACCCCCTCTTGGTCCAGCATATAGCCAGCCTGGAAAGAAACTACTACTTAGATCCTGCAATGCCAGGCGTGTCGCCCTGTTTAAAGCATGTCCGGGCCAATCTGAAGACTGGTTTGTGTTAGGGGCATAATCAACAGGGCCATATATGTTGAGGTTTTAAGGCCATGGATTTGTTTATTCACTGGGCCTTAAGTTTTGGAATAAGATAAAATGATATTTAAATCCTTTAGATTTCTTCTCCAATGAGGGTAAGGTACATGCTCTCAGAGGCAAGTCATTGTAGACACCTTGTATTAACTCATATTTGGGAATAAACCACATTTCATCCTTTTTGCTTTGGTAATATATATGGGAAATACCAATGGTAACACCTGAAATATGTATTTTAGCACCGGCTGCCTGAAAAGACAAATTTTTTCCAACTGTAGACAATTTCAACTCAACCTTTCCTTTCATGTCCAACTTTTTTTAACTACACAATGGAAATGTCATGGTCCCAGACACCCACCTAGAAAGGCCTTTTGTTGGACCCACTGCATAGTCTGGCACAAGCGCTGGACAGAGAATAATTGAAACGCAGATAAAGTCTAAATCAACACTTTTGAGAGACTTTAGAAAAGCCTGGAGAAGTCTTTGTATATTTCATCACTGTATATCAAGTATTATCTGGTTGACTGAAACCTACCAAAAGCTACTGGAAAGACAAAGCAGAACAAATTTGAGAGGTATCCAGGGTAGAGGGTGAAATAAACTTCATACTCACATGTTTGACATTGGCTTTCCTGGGGACCCCAGCAGCGTCCGTTACAGGAGCGATGGCATCGTCTGCCTGTAGAAAAAAAAACAAAACAAAACAACAAATTGGAGCCGTGGATCAGACAGATTCTCTTTGAACAACAAATTTAAGGCAAGTTATTTTTCAACACGGAGTGCCGAAACTTTCCAGTGACAGATTTATCGAAACTCTTCAGCTTGATGAGACAATAGGCTGCTTTGGTCGGGGACAAACACATGCGTGAAAAACAGGCCCTCTACTCTTTTTCTGTCACATGGAAAGTGGGATCTGACAGAGCGCTCACAGCCCTCATCTGCCTGTGGCCCATCATTGAGACTTAATTGACTATGGGTTAATTACAGAGTGAGTGGAACAACGCAGCCAATTGTCACCCAGCCTTTCAACCACTCCCACCATGGGGTCCTTAATGTTAAATACTGGCTACATCTTGGGAACAGGCTCCAATTTGGCAACCTTAACACCCACACACTCTCTTGTCATTTTTTTGTTGGCCCACCTCCTCAATGCTTTGGTTCTTTTATCACCATCCTTCCCATCAGCATTGTCTAATCAGCAACATAACAATGTTTCACACATTTCGGACATAAAGATCATTCCTAAAATGTTTTTCTATGTTTTTATGTGCTCTGCTTTTTCCAGAGGTCTTTTCACAAGCTATGTTTTTTTTTTATTTTTTTTTATTTTTTATAATTACTATGAAAGCATAATTAAGCTCATGGAATATATTTAAGGATGTTGCAAGTGTATCTTTCTCGTAATTCTAATGTTAATGTAATATAAAGCAAAAGCTCAATTGTCACTGTTAAGTTGGGGATTTAATAAAGGATCCAGAATCTGACATTATTCATGATTCGGATGTTTGCTTTAAACCAACAAGTAATCTATTAATCCAGATTTCATGATCATTCAGTTTGAAAGCCCTTCCCTCCAAACAACGGATGTCATCTAAACTTTGATTTTTAGGCTAAATCTAGTCCAGAATTAGTTGTTGAAAATTGGGCTTTGTTCGGTGTGTCTGATTTTGTCCCACTTTAGTCTAATAATAGACGTTGAAAACACAGTTTTCAACAATTAAAAAAATTACAGCGTTTCACTTTTCAACCAAATGTAGATATTGTTTTGGATGTAAATCATGTTGTCGTTTCAATGTCTTTTCAACCTATTTTTCCTTGGTAGGTTGGCAACTACCTCTTATCTTTAAGCCTGTCGAGCAGTTCACACTTATTTACCTTTTTTCCTAGTTATTAACTGTAACAATTAGGGCTCTGAGTCATGGGGTGTCCCAAATTATCTCTGTAGTCCAATAACGTCACCTGAAGTCTGTTCCAATTCAAGCATCCTCCCGAATTTGTATTCACTGAGCACCATTTCCGCGGTAATTTGCACAACCACCGCAGGGAGTTCATCGCTGTGCACAGTGTTTCAGTGTTTACACTGTAGATTGTAAATAGGAGGATTTCAGATGCCTCCCAAGGCAGAAAAAAACCATCAGCAAATAGAATGAGAAGCTAGTGCCTTGTTAGTCCAGGTTTGTGCAGTTAAAATGGTCATTTGTACAAAAAAAAAAAACATATGCACCAAAGTTTTGGTGCAAATGTGTGCAGATAATGGTCATTGAGAACTAACTTGGCAGCCATCAGCCGATAGGGGCTTTTCTCTACCTTTCCTGGGGAAAGCACTTGGTTTAATATTAATCTACTAGATCATTAAACTGCTAGGTGGAAGTCACAGGTCTCAAGTAACAAAGTACATATAACTGATTACATTCTATATTTTCTCGAAATTTTGGCTTTACTCGAGTACGTTTTTTTTTTTTTTTTTTGAAAAAAACCTGTGTTTTTCTTTATACTACTACTCCTTACATGTTTTTGCAATAATCTCTACTTTCTACTCCTAACATTTTAATAATATAACTCCATAGTTTGGTTTCATTTAAGCTCATTTTGTTCAGCCCTTTTGTATTAAAAAAAACATTAAAATGATTTGTTTTATCCAGACAATTGAATTCTTATAGGTTGGACTTGGTACTGCACCAACGTCTTGTTTGCCACATACCAAAATAAATAAATAAATAAATAATTAATTTTTTTTAAGATTATGCAAAGTTAAATTTGACCTTGTTACCATTAGTTATTGAATAAATGCAATTAAGTATGAAAAAGTTATCATCCAGAATTGTAGATTCCTTTAATGTTCCTTTAATAAGGTAGTGCAGTAACAAGTATAAGGTTTAAATCATCTGTCTTAACATTACTTTTACTTTTATACTTAAAGTACTTTTAAATAAAGATACTTTTACTTAGTAAAAAGTTTACGTTGATATTCTAACTTGTACAAAGGTGTTTTTAAACAGTAGGATCTATACTTCTGCTTGAGTTATAAACCAAAATACTTTAAACATCTCTGCTGTTAAACAGATATATAACATTAGCTTTTGTCATTGATGAGTTATGCTGAGATGGGGGCAAGAGCGGCTGCTGAAGGCAAGACCATCCCAATTCACAGCTGGTCACTTTCAGCCTTTGTTGGTTTGAGGTCTTTGAAGGATCTGTGTGGGTTGGATAAACCTCTGAATTGGGATACATGCCTAGAGGATATGAGAGTTTCTCTGCATCCTTAAGCATGTTCCACTCTCTGCAGCTGACAGAAAGTTGCTGAATAAGCTGATCAGGAAGACCAGCTCTATGATTGGATGTCCTCTGAAAGGATCTCTGTTGGATAATGTTTCCCACCTCCTGAATGAAGCTGTTGCAGAACTTGAGAGCTCCTTCAGTGACAGACTGCTGCTCCCTAAATGCACCAGGGAGCGTTATCACAGATCCTTCCTCCCAGCAGCTGTAAGACTTTATAACCACCACTGTTCCCAACAACCTCAATAAGTTGTTACATTCATGCAGATTTTGCACAGTTTCTCCCTTAGTCAGTTACATAACATGCTGCTGTCATTTTGAACATCTCTGATGTTGCTGCTATTTTTAAAATATCCGTTACTGTTAAAATGTCCATAGCTGCATATTGATTATTTATTCTCCAGGTGCACAGTTTTATATTGTTAAAACACTTTACAGTACATTATTTCATTATTATAATAATTTTTTTTACTCTTCACTTGTATGTTATTCTTATACATTTTTCTAAGGTCCACATTTGCTTGACCATTTTTTAATAATCTTGGTGCTGATGTAAACACCAGAAATTCCCCCTTGTGGGACAATAAATGGATTTTCTATTCTATTCTATTCTATTCTATTCTATTCTATTCTATTCTATTCTATTCTATTCTATATTTTGGCCTCATTTTTGGATAAATTAGCTGGGACATCCAATCATTAAAATATTGGTAGTTTTCCTTAATGTTTCCCACTCAAGAATATTCTCTGTGGAGTGAAACAATAGAACACTAATGATTATGAAAAGGCTTTTCAACCCCTTACAGGTCGATGGAGAACACCATTTGTTTAAATTGTATTAACACCAGTTTTCTACACGTTACCAAACTGACAGAACTCTAGCTGCAACAGAAGTCCCAATGCTTGAATAGCACTACCCAGCTGCCAATTTGACTTCTAATTCCAGGGCCGTATGCATTTCTTTCAGTCTCCACCAATTCATGCCAAAGCTATCCAAGCTAACCTCGTTGCTCATATAAAAGTCTTCAGATAGTTCCATTAGGTATGTTGTTAATTTACCCAAAGATTTATCTTTAGACAGGAAAAAAAAGGTTTCCAAGAGTTTGTCTTTACCCACCAGCTCATCTGACCTAAAATGACCACTGAAAAGAGGGAAATGGGCCCTTCAAGCCAGCTGTTAGCTTTATTGTGATGTATAAAGAGCAAATGGGCCTTGCTGCAAAGCTGAAACTCTGGTATAACTACAATAAGAAGTTCAAATGTTGATCTAACACTAAGTGATGTCGCTCCCAAATCCCCACCAGGAATACAGAATGAAATAAAGGGAATATGAATGTCTGTGCCCGTGTCTCTGTGAATACTAGGGGGGATATTCTGGATAAATAATAATTTTACTTAAAAGCTTTTGGACTTTACTCACATCCATTGTTGCTGTTGTTGGACGGAACCACAAGCAGCTCTGCCTGGGGGTTCTTGATAATGTCGCGCCAGTGAATGGTGTCGGCGTGGCACAGGAACTTGTTCTGGTCAACGTAGACGCCCCCGTTCAGTATCTCTGCACCACGAAAGGAAAGATACAAAAAAGACAGAGGGGAAAAAATTAAAAAATCACCAGAGTTTGATGGATTTATGGTGGATTCATTGTACATGTATGCTGTGGCAGGAAATCAATACTTCAAGGTTAAATCTTATGGTTCTTTTGTCTCGAAGTACGGCATTCCCTTAATGCGTGTCTGAGCATGAAGGTAAATGCTATTGACAAATGTTCACAGTAACTCAATGCCACGTCCACAGGCAGGGGTTGTTCAAATAAAAAGGCTAATAAATATGCAAACTTGACAACAAAGCTTTTAGGAGAATTTCATTCTGTAATTTATAAATTATACCGTAGATTTTCAGTAATCTCAGTTAGTTGCAGATTTCCTATCTTCTGTAGCTCTCTCCCAAGTATTTAATGAACTTGAATCAACAAATATATGTAATTTTTGTTCCTTTAAACAGGGACCAGTCCTTCATACAGGTTGAACCTCTTTTACATTTTCTTTTTGTTTGTTTTTTTATTGGTACAACCAAGCAATACACTTATTGGACTGGTGTGCATTTGGCCAACTCTTGGTGGCTTGTGAGCATTTGTGCAAGGTTGTGAAAGGTATATCTCACTACTCTCTTTAAACCTTCAGACCAGGGATCTTGAGACTCTTGAAAACACTTTCCAAGGTACTGTCATGCCTTGGATAGTGTTCTAACCATTGACTCCACAAAAGGTGAGGGTATAGGAGCTAGAACAGGAGGTAGGAGGTAAAATTTGAGGCATTTGGTTCAAGACCTTGACGTCAAATCAGGAGTAATCAAGCCAGAGAGATGTCTAATCTTTGCAGGCCCTTAGGGACTTGAGATTAACATCCCTGGTCCAGGTAGTGAGCATCAACCTCTTGAGAAATCTTGACCATGTCATTGTCAAAGGTAAGCAAAGACACAACTCATATAGAGTAGGCTTAAAAAGTGGAAATATGTTTTTCTCAAGGACCAGGGGCCTTAACAGATGCCAGAGTAGGATAATAAAACCTAATCCCTTTCTGTGTTACTAATCCAGGCTTTGGACACAGACAGTGAGTTTAATGATGCTGCTGTAATCCACCTCCCTCCCGAGCCGTGACCTAAGGCAGCGGAGACACTGTCGGAGCCTCTCTTTTTTTTTTTCTCTGCGACTGCAGCTGAATGCATTGTTAAACCTCATGAGGGGGTGGGTGGGGGGATTTAGATGCAATCACCTTGCATCCCTGTATCCTCGAATATGAGTCACGGCCTTATTCCAGGAAAGCACTTTTCATAATAAATGAAATTTAATTTCAAATAACTTGGAATGTGGCTCAGATTAAGGATGGATAAGCTTGAAAATAAAAAGAAAGGGCATTGTCTCTCCAGGCAGATTATTAACAGCATATGAATTATGCGGATGCCTCTGCAGCTCTGGAAGCCCGCACGCAGGAAGCTAATCATTACCATCCGACACCCTGATTAAGGAAGTGGGCCTTGGTGGAGACAGGGACATTCATTCACAGCCCTCTTTAGAGGTGACATGGCGCTTCGTCTGCCTGCTGAATGGCCTACAGCCGAAGCTTCATGTAATCATGTTCCCGTCACAATGGACCATTTATCACAGGGGGGGTGTTTACACCCATAAAAGCTCTTGGTGATTCATAAGTTGTGTTTTGTTCAAATAATGCAAAGGATGTTCTTAGAAATAGTTCTGAAAGAACTAGATAAAGTTTGGGGAGATGCATCTAGAAGTTATTTTGTTTTTCTTTTAATAGCACGGTTGCCCTGAAGTCACCTTCGTACTATAGCAGGGAACTCGCCAGCAGTTCTCACAACTCACTGTTGTGCAAAGGTGCAGAGGTGCAGGCACATTAGTGAATGGTGGATGCGCGGTGATGGATATGGTGCTCCATGGTCATTCAGAAGGAAATAAACTCCAAACCACACGGTAACTGCCGCTCTTTATGTGGCAAAAAGCCCCATAAAGCCTTGAAGTTTGTGAATAATGTTTTAGTTTAGGTGGAAATACAGACTCAGCAAGATGCGCTCGGGGGGCTTTTGTGGCGCAGAACGGGGATTTATGGTGGCTTGAGTTTCGGAGTGCAGGGAGTCAACGGAGGGTCCTGACACCTGCTTAATGTCCACCTTCTGTAAGAAAGCCGTTCACTGAGAAGTTTCACTTTACACATGAAAGATGAAGGTAGAAAAGCGATGAATAAGGTATTATTATTTACTTGACCTTTTTTTCTCAATGGATCAATCATTAAATACACTATTTTCCAGTAGATACCTCTTCATGCATGTTTAGATGGATAGTTCACATTTCTAAATATAAATTACCCTTTTAACTAAGAAAACATAAGGGTCCAGTAACTTCACTCAGATTTTTCACCTAGGTTTAGGAATTGGTTATCACTTGTCAGAAGAATTAGCACAGTTTGTAAATAATATATCCTCTCAGAGTTGAATATGTTGAGCTTAAAAAGGGTGCCGTTTTAGTGGATGTGTAACAACCTGCTCTGTTACAGTTCCAAAAAGGACGGCTGTGGTTATTGGGACATTATTGACTTAACAAAAGTGGTAAAGGGGCTTTAAGTTCCCCAGACAATGAAAAAGCTAAATAGCAGAAAAAGTCAAAAATGACAAACTAGAACTACCTTTTCCACCTGGGACTTTTGGGTAATGGCAGATATAATCGATTTTGATATTTTATGTAGAGCTGTCCCTCTGTTAGCCGCCCAGCACTGCCCCCTGAATGTTCTTTTAAATGCCAGCGGCTCCACTCCAGCCGACAAATTACCAACTATAGTGTCCATCCCAGCAGGGGCACTAACTCTTCCAGCATGGTGGCTGACAGGCCTCGACCAGGTGGCCATTCATTACCAGGCCGTGGCTGCCTGCTCCACTCGAGTACACCCATCCCCCCCAAATCCATAACTCTATGTTTCGATCAGGGAAGCTACTGATGACTGTCCCCCTTGCTGTACCCTTGAAACCACCCTCCTCCATCGAATCCTCCTCCCTTTCACTTCCCTTTTAATTCACAAGTCATCAAGGAAACTATTTTCTGAATCGTAGTTGCAGGTTATGGGCTTGGAGAGGCTTTGTTCCTCACCGCAAATATCTTAACGAAATTGCTCTTAAATATCAATTTGATATACCTCAAAATTATTAATATATAGAGAAGGCCTGACTTTGAATGAAAAACAAAACAATTCTATTAAATAAAATAATAAAATCAGTCAAACTGTACAAAAAAAACTCCAAAAACTTTATGTGATTCAGGAGGCATTATTGTTGCAAACAAATTAAACTTTTTTTTAAAAGGAAAAAAAAAAATGAAATCCTGAAATGAAAGTTAAAATAAAAAAGCTTGTTTTTCCAGATTTTGTTATATTATATATATAATAATAATATAATTATATTTTTTTTAATCTATTTTTTTTAACAGATGCAACTTTTACATTTCTTCAAATTGCATTATTTTCATATAGCCTTTTAGAGATCACGTTCTTTCCTCTGGAGATAGGCGCAAAGACGATTTCAATTCCTCATTCAGCATAAATGCTCGCTCTTGAACGAGAAAAATCTTGTTGCTAGCATCCATGAAGACCAATACAATTTAGTTTTTGCTAAAAACAATGAAAATAGGTGGAAATAATACACAAAAGTAAATCAAAGACTAAAAGGATCCCAATTCATGACAGTGTGTGGCCTTTTTCTGTTAGCATTATTAAGCAACTTCCCATTTATTTATCCTAATTGTTTGCAAATTCTTGCAATAATTAAAAATAAGGCTATATGTGTTATAGACCTTAATGAAATAAAAAAAAAAAACAGGAATTATACATTATTTTGATTAAAAGGCTACAATTGAATCAATTAAAAAAGAACCGTTCTCACAAATCTCCATGCTCTGTGTCACCAGGCGCTCTGCTCCCTGTGATGGTGTTTCATGTGCGTACAAGGCCTCGGAGGGCTCTGCCACCATATGGTCAGGTCATGTTTGCTTCTGGTTGTAGCATTTTACTACAGCTCTTTTGGCATGGGAAGAAACTCTCTCAGCCTAATGGAGAAATCATATTCTTGGCGAGCTGAGGTTAAGGTTTTAGGTCGAATCAGAGATATGATTCATAGCATGCAGTGAAACACGATGCAGACTATCATTGGGTCAGTACTTGAAACTATTAAAAGCAAAAGATGTTCAGAAAATCCAGATAAAACCACTTGCATTTTTTTTTATCTACTTGCATTAAATGAAGCTCTTTGCTGCTTGCTAGGAGATTAAGAATCACTATATTATCTGCAAAATATAAGCGACTGTTGCAATGACTTAAAACTCATATTGGTTGGATGTTTGAACAAAAAACATATTTTCTTTAAACTCACTTTACAATGGTTTTCATTAATAGTTTCTCAGAACTATTTCAATGTTTTCGTAGGTCTTATCTGCTTTCCAATAAATTTTTCTTGCAGTACCTGGATTTTTGAGGAAAACTTCAATATTATTTCTGACTTACAGTCTGTCTCATAAGATTTCCTATCTTTAATAAACTCATTGAAAAAAAAACCCCTAAAAAAATCAAAAAACTGTTCTTTAGAAAGAGAACAGTCATTTCATTAAGCTAACAGCCAGTTAACTAATAGCAGACACTTTCTTTTTCCTTTTATATATCCTTCTTTATAAGGTTTGCTTTTTCTTGGTAGTTAGGGGTTATTGATGAACTTTAAAACATATGGCCAATTTATTGGAATTGTTAAATCGATTCATTTGCAGAGAGTTTTTATACAACATTTTCATTGAGTTTGGGTTCTGACAAGAGATGAGGGTGGGATTGTGTGAATGGGTGCATGTGAATGTGTTTTTGTCTTTTTGTCGGGTTGAGTGCTTTGTTTCCCCTCGCTACTGGACCATCCAAGGCTCCATACATTAGTGAGGCCTCTTCCCTCCTCTCCTTATGCTCCCTGCAGGTGACCAGTACCTCTTCTGTCTGGTGTGGTCATGGTTCTCTCTCT